ATGGTCTGAGCTGCCGCCTCTCCCCTGCCCGAGCGGCCGAGGCCGGCGCGTTCTCAGAAGAGCCGACCTGCAAACAACTCCGGCGATGCCAAAATTCCCTTCCAAGTGACACGGCTCCGCGAGGGAGGCTTCTCCGGCCGGCTCCCGCTCCCTCCCGCTCCCGCTCCCGCTCCCGCTCCCGCTCGCGCTGCCGGCCTCAGCGACGGCTCAGGGCTTGGCTCCGGCCGCAGCAATTTAGGGGGAGAAGGAAGGAGCCCTGCTAAACTCTCCCGTGACCTCAAACTCTTTGGACTGCTTTTTCTTTTTTTTTAATTTTTGAAAGAAAATCCACCTTGAAAGAAAATCGGCATAGGAGGAGATGGAAGTTTTCCCCTTGTTCTTGGTTCTGTCCGTGTGGTGGTCTCGAACCTGGGAGCGGGCGAATGCGGATTCGATCATTCACATCGGTGAGTAAGGGCAGGTGCGGCCCGTGGGCGCTTTTGACCGCTTCGGTTCGCCACCGCGTCCCCGCGCGCCCCCTCCCCGCCCGCCGTGGGGCTCGCCGCCCCTTCCGCGGACACCCTTCCCTCGCACTTGTTCAGTTCTCCGGCCGGACGCGGGTGATGCTCGAGCCTTGGCTCGTGCTGCCGTTTGGCGGGGCATCGCGGCGTGTGGGCTGCGTGCGCGGGGGGCTCGAGTTTGCCTCGGGGCGCGTGTGTGCCGGGGAGTGCGGGGTTCTGAGTGCGTGGGGAGAGGAAGTTTAATGGACCCAGCCTTCCATATTTTTTCCCCCGGATTTACATTTGCTCCATTTTTTAAAGATTCTCTTGGAGGGAACAGAGGAGGTGTCACCTGTGAGGCGACAAGGACTGGGGTGGGAGGTGGGGGGAGCTCCCTCCGGATCGAACAGGTGGTTTTGCAACGTGAGCCCGCCGCCTCGCCGCAGCGTCGTGCGATGGTGACGGGCTGCCGGCGGCGCCCCCAGCCTCCCTTCTCCTCTCCGCGTCCTCCAGGCTTTGCGGTACTCGCGCCGAGTCGCCGCGACGGTGGCGGGAGGGGCTGGCGGCGGCGTAGCGAGGACCCGGAGCCACGCGCCTCGCCGCCTCGCACG